CAAAAGTCAATGCAAACACTGGCACAACACAGTAAAATGGTGTTAAGGTATGGACATGTAGGATTTTTGTTTTCAATAAAAACAAAGCTGTGCTTTCTTTGTTTTACTTTTGCTTTTTACATAGAGCAAAATATAAGACATTTGTTTTGAACTTTTTCTGGCTCTTTCTGTTTCAAACTGTTAAATATGGAACGTGACCAGTGGCGGGTCAGTGGCATTAGTTTTCTTGCAGTTAAAGGGTTGTAGGTGTCTGGAACAAGGTACCCAGGCATGTATCTATTTTCTTTCAACAAATGGCTAAATGAGATCTTTGAAAAGCAACCAAAATAGCAGGATGGTCTGCATGGCCTCGTATCATTTGTACATTAGTGTTTCATGTTCAGTTTCTAATTATGAAAAAATAGCTTATTTTCTCTATTATTGTTCACAGAAATCATACACAGAATATCATTGCAACAAGCAGTCAGTCTAATCGCGGTGGCAGCTGTTGGTCTTTGTAATTCTAATACCTTACGACTGCTCTGCTCTGTACTTAAATGTCTGCTTTCTCCTAGCAGGTGTGTGAGGTACCCGCTGACAGGCAAGAGACACTGCACAGCAGAGCTCTGCAGGAGTAACCCTTGCTAAAGACCCAAGAACGAACAAGCCAACGGTTCTGGACTCTAAGACACAACCAAGAGCCCAGAGGTGAGGATAACGAGTCCCAGAGTCACTAAGTGGCAGAACTGGATTCTGATAAGGGTATAAAGATTTTATTTTAGGTTAATATTGTGATCAGTTTTTTTTAACTGTGTCCTCCCATTTGTAACTACTTTATCCATCACAGTGTTTGAATGATTTATTTGTTAATAGTGTAGCGCTCTTGGGTTTACGTGGGTATGCGCACTCGCCGCTGCTGCCTCAGGTCAGCCCCCCATCGCTGGGGACTCGAACCTGGGTGTTACTCAACAGGGAACCAGCCAGCTGAGCTAAAGGGAGATCTCCCCCCAGCTCGCCGGCTGAGGAGCCTGCTATCCACAGGGGAGGGGGGTGAAGTCACCGCGTAGGTAAGCCAGCTCCACAACCTGTAATGTCGGCCGTATGCTGCCATAGCTTCTACCACCAGGTCACATGGGTATTAACTTACATGGGCTCAGACTTACCCTATTCTGACATTTCAGTTTATTTCCCTTAAAAGTATGGAGAATGTAGTGTACTGTAGGTAGGGAGAAGGCCTCGGTTAAAGAGGAACTGCAACGCTATTGTTATAATTCAGGGTTAGAAAGAATCACCATTGATGAGTGCATTTCAAGCCACAGTGAATGTAAAATGCACACAGTAATGTGTAAAACCTCCAATTTATGTAACAAAATAGACAAAATAGATTATATTTCCAGGTGTGTGCAGCGCCATGCATGTGGTTCAGAATGATGCAACAAAACGTCTGGTGACGTGTGCACTCCTATGACATTGTAAACAAGCAGACTTGTGAATACATCCGAAGACACCCAAAGAAGGCTCCACAGCCTTGTGTTTCCTTTGTCCTCTTTTCAGGATGGATTAAACCTTTATTTGTTCCTTTTGAATACATCTCTTTTAATTCCAGACTGTTTTGCCAACAAATACCACTTACTTGTTGGCTCTGCCTGCAGATCATGTTTGAACATTTCTGCCATATCTACTGCACAGCCTGTACAGGGGCATAAACTTTCTGTAGACAATTTATTTCATCTACTTTTCATTTACAAAAATTATTTTGAAATTTTATGGTCATGGGAGGGTTAGTGTTATTTAGGCTAGGTCAGTCTTTTTAGTTCTAGGGAGGGTGGCTTTATAAACCGTTTCAAACCTAGCACCCATTGTCACGAGGGCTAATATTAGGTGTTGCTTTCCTTCTGCTTATTTCTGTGAATGCCAAAATTCACAACTGTAGGCATAAAACTCCAGCAGTAGTACTGACAGAACCTTTTTAAGAAGACTACTTTATATGAAACCCACCATAGTGGGAAGGGTTGTTTGAAAATGTTTTGTCTATTAGTTCTTGTTTTATACAGAGATAAAAAGTTTAAAGAATTTAGGAAAACCTTGAAAAAAACTTTTGTGACTCCTGTTTCCTGTCACACAAAATTGAGCCATATGTCAGACTTGTAATAAGCATCAAAAATTGTATTAAGTTTTATTGAGGATTTATTTTGGGTATTTTCTGTATTCAACTCTTTTTAGTTTTGTTTCTAGATTAAATCCAAGAATAACTATTTTACATGTATTAAATTGAATAGTCCCAATTACAATGTACAATCTACAATGTTTGCTGTTTGAGCAACAGTGTCCAGCCCTGACCTCTTCTCCATAATTCCTGCTGGCAGAGGAGAATAGAAGTGGATACACAGTGAATGTGTAGCTGATCAGGCTGGGATCTGAGGATGCTGCACTGAAGAAAAAGGCACACAGCTCTCTGGTCAGCGTGCTGCTCCACCCCACTGACCCCAACACAGAGGTCATCCAGGTAAAGACACAGAGCAGTGGGACTGTAGGTCTTCTCAGGTGCTTCTTCGACATTGATACTAGTCTCCTGGCCAGTAATTAAACAGGGGTGCTTTGAAGAGTGATAGAAAGAGTGATTTTGCAGGGAAGATGTTGATGTTTTATTGTGGGTTAACCTGTAGTTTCTGTAAAGATCTGTCTGCAGGAGTACAGTCCTGCTGAGTGTTCGGACCACGTCATTACAACTGATGAGTCCCAAGCCCAGTTCTTCAATATTCAACCCTAAAGCCGTATTCAGTAATCGAAGCATGTTGATCCTCCTCCTCATTTTTAGTTCTGAGAAATCCTGTGTTTGTTAAAGAATTTTGTGCAAAGATCCCAAAAGAAAAGACAGTGACCATCACTAGTGGGATCTGCTTCAAAAAGAATTGATGTGGTCAAATTCCTTCCTCATCTCCCACATGACAAATTCATCCAGGACAGCAGCTCACAGCATGTGAGTCATGCAAAAAGGAGGTCAAATCCTTGAATCACTGGTCATATTCCACTTATCAGACTCCCGAGTGCTTCCAGTTTTTCAGCTGTTTCAAGTATTCCCACTGGGACTAATGTTTCCCCATCACAAGCTGTCCTGGGATGTGCAGTCTCCCAGTGGACACTGCTCACTCAGTGCTGTGGATCATGTAGTGATGGTGACCATGTAATGTCAGGTACATTGAGAGTGTCACTGAGGCAGTTTTGATCTTCTACATCACTGTGTGGCATGGCAACACTTTTGCTCAGGACAGGGAGCAGCTAGAGAGATTAGTGTGTACTGCCTGCAAAATTGTAGGATGCTACCTTCTCTCTGTGGACTCGCTCTGCTACTCTAGACTGAACCGCACAGCTCTGAAGATCCTCAGCGACCCTTCCCTCCCTGCTAGGCACCTTCAAGAAGACTGTGAGATACATTTTGTTTTACATCAAGTTTTTGCAGGGCTATTTGTGTGCAAAGGTGTTATATATTTTATTACTCAGTTTTATTTATTTTATTTCTGGTGTGTGTTAAGGATAGCATGTGAAGATGTGCTGGGTGAAAGCTGTCTGTTATTTGCTTTATGTTGTATATTTGTATTCTGTGTCTTTTGATTGTATGAGCTCACCAAACCAATTCCCATCCAACTAGTTTTCAGGGAAAATTTAAAGTATCACAGAAACTGTGCAGACCTTTAGAAAACACTTAACTGCCTGTAGTATATGAAGTGCTTTTTGTCAGTAATGTGTTTCTTGTTGACATTTCCATAAAGTATTCATGATGCCTCTCTGTTTCACTGGATTGTCTTTAAAAGAAGCTCCAGTTGACTATTTGTTCTCACTGATGGTATCTCATAGAGAGTCTTAGAATCTATTTTATCCAGAAATCTGGCTGTAGGCTATTACACAATACTTACCCATTGTGTAGAGATTTTTGTTATCTTTATTTATATTTGTCAAACTCAACCAGGACTGAGGAGCCTCCTGCAGGACTAAGAGTCACAGGTGCAGTGAGGGCTGCTGAAGCCATGGAGTGCTTCAGCTGGCCCTGAGCGATGGTCTTGTGTTTGGGGCTGTAGGGGACTGGGGCTCCAATCCCCTGTCACTGCAGAGACCCTGGACAAGAAAGGATAGTTGTTCACACTGTGAGTTCTCTGTGTCTCCTTGAGACACATTTTAAATTTATTAAATGATAAAAAATTGTGCAGAACCTGTATTTCATTCCAGACACAGGCAGGTGAGACAATGTCCTAAATTGTTATTATGTTGCAGACAGTTTATGACATTTTAAGTTGTCATAAATGTTGCAGAAACATCTTCAGCATTTTGAAGACTGGAAAAAGTAAAATATGTGCGTTGGCCATCAAAAGAAAAATGATGATGATGTAAAACAAAATACACCTGAAGAAGACTTAACAGCTGAAATATTATTATCTGTTATTGTTCATTTCAGGAATTATCTTGTTATTATTTGTTCCTTTGTTGACAAATATAAAAACTGTATCAGTATTGATTACCTAATTTCAATAAAGGTTAAAGCATACCTACAAGAATAAATAGTTTACACCAACAGTAGGTTTCACAATCTTTGGTCTCAATAAGAATATGGATCCTACTTTTACACTTTACTTTTACAGGCAAAATAATGGGAACTACAATATACAGAATATTCATCGTTTGCTGATAATTTGTTAGTTTGTCAATATTATCAGCCAGTAATCATTGAACAGTGTCCTGACATTCAAGGCACTACACCGTTTTAACTTCGCATGATAGTGAATGCATGGGTCTGCATATTTCCTAATGCATTATTATCACAGAACACATTGATTAATTGAATTGACAAGCTCAGCGGAGATACTGCATTAACATTGAAAATAATACCGAAATCGAATGACAAAAATGGGTGAATAACACCGAAGTCCCATATTTGTGTTTCATAGCAACAGTCACTAAGGAAGTGCGTCTTAACCCGGAACTCTTCTGAGTGGAAGAGGGATTTGTTCCTGTTTGTGAACGCGAGACTTCCTGTTCCTGTGGTTGTGTGTTCAAACTCGCATGTTTAAACCCGCACCTTCATTTATTGCTTCTTTGTCAGATGGACTCTGAAAAAATGGAGGATTGGTTGTTTAACCTGGAAACCGATCTTCAACCTTTTATGGAGGTTTTGCTTAAATCGATCGTGTATGAAGTTTCAGAAGTTTTCCGGAACAGAATGTCTGATTCCGAGGACTCGATTCAAAACAAACTCCGCAGCATCTCTCAGATTCTGGTGAGACGGGCGGTGATTAAAATCACACAGTGTGTCCAGGACAGTTTCGGCACCGAAATAACACAAATGAAAAAAGAAAACGAGACCCTAAAGGTCAGATTGCAGTTCTGGGAGAAGGAGTCGGGAGCAGGCGGAGAGCAGGGACAGACAGATAATGGATGCATGCCTCCCTCTGAAGTCACTGGAGAGATAAAAGAAGAAATGGTCACGAAACTGGAGCTGTCAGGTCAGTGTGGTGACTTGTATATAGTAATGTCTGGGGTATTTAAAAACTGTTTTTAAGTTCTTTGCCGTTTTAACCTGTAAGATTCTATTGTATCAACGATATCAGTAGTGAAACACTTGTGAATCGTTTATTTGCCTTATATTGTACCAGTACCGGTTACATATGGCAATAAAGTTCAAGTTCAAGTATTTGATATATTTATTTAGATGTCTAAATTGTATATAATTATGTATCATCAAGAAAAGCGAACACACAAACTTTTCAAAAGAACAAAGGTTAAAAAGAAACCAATTATAAAAAGCTCTGTATTTTGTCTCACTGTAATGTAAAGTATATAAAAATTGAAAATAGTAGCATTAGAACTGTATATATTCAGCGTTTCTTCTGGTTTATCTTAACAAATTAACTTTAAATTTAATGTGTGCAAACTCTTGTCGAAATGATTGCGCATAGAGAAACGGCATGGAGCTGTCTCTTGCGAAACACCGAAAGAAATGTGTAAAATCCTACCAGTGCTTAGAAAATGCACTTATTTATCAGGAAGTTTTAAAATACTAGTCCTCCAGAATGGAGTTGCTTTCAAACTGCAGTTTCCGAAGAATAAAAACTTATATTCTGCTATTAGAATACGTATTAAATAATCAAAGTATACACTGCTTGAGCAAATCTTTTCTTCTTGTTTTCTTCTGCTGTACTTTAAGATGCTTTTTTTTTAGCTGTTTGCAGTTACTGCTGCTCTTGAGTATAAATTGAATATGTGACACAACATGCATCTGGTTTGAGGTTGAGGAGATAGATGCCCAGACAATCGATCTGTCTCTATTAACGCTCTTCTCTCTCAGTGCAGTGTTAATGTACTGTAGTGTCCAGTCAGCGTGTCAGTATTAACTGCTCTCTCTCCCAGTGCAGAGTAAGTGTACTGTAGTGTCCAGTCAGTGTGTCTGTATTAACCCCTCACTCTCAGTGCAGTGTATCTGTATTAAACCCCCTTTCTCTCAGTGCAGTGTTAATGTACTATAGTGTACATTAAACAGCCACAGGTAACTAGCAAAGAGAGGACATTAGCTAGCCAATATGATAAAGGAATAAATGTTTTTTTAATTTCTTTTGCACATTTATTTGAACATTTCCATCGATTGTACAAGCACTTGGAAACTGTCCAATCCCTAGTTTGTCTGCATTTTCTTGTATGCTTTTATTCTGTGTCTTCTAGGATATAATGCCGGCGATTTGTGTTTAAATTGGGTTTCCAATTACACTGCAGCAAACTCTTGTTTTTATGTCCACTATAACAGACAATCTCCCTTGCTTTTAAAACCAAGCGTTTCATAATTTCCTAAAATGAAAATGCGACAGAATTCTGGGGTGTCCCTATACCAGAGATTACGGAAGGCTTCAGAATGGTGATTGGCTGACACCATCTGACACCCCTGTGATTGGAGAAAAAAACTTGCTGATCTGTTCCACATAGCAGGAGGACAAAAGCATATGCTGCTTCTATTCAAAATGCGTATTTTAAAAGTTTAATTAGGAAGTTAAAACCTTACAGCGTACACAGATTTCTAAACTGATCAGAAGGAAGAAAAATCACCCGTGTTTCGCGCATAAAAAGTGGTTATTAACTATTGAAACCTGTTTTATTTATTTTATTTTTATTTAGATTAAGAGTTCCCGTCACCCCCATTGCCATTTAAATCGCAAACCCGTGTTTAATTAAATATTTGTATTGATTCACAATCCGGCAATGCAACGTAAATCGTTATCTTTGTCTTCTTCATAATAATGTTCACCTCTCTGTCCACCAAATTAATAATAAACTTTATTTACGTCGTCTCAGCTTAAAAGGTACCCCGTCGTGGAAGAATTTGACCTCTGAACGTTTACCCAGCGTAATATTGTATTTAATTGCACTTTGACAGATTATCTTTAAATCAATTGTTGTCAGAATATCCCCACCTCCAAACAAGAACAAAACAATTTTATTAACTGGCTGTTTCAGTAACTTAAAGTATATATTTAAAGTAATAATTTAACAAACATATCTTTAAAAATGTATATATTGTGTTGTGAATGTCTGTAGATTGTATCTTATTTTTAGTTTTTGTTTTGTTTCACGTTAATTTTATAATGGAGAGTGTCATAGAGACGATTCCTTTACCCCCCATCTTTATTAAAATACTTTTATTTTTTCACAATCTGGCAGTGCCAGACAGAATTCACATTCGCTGTAGCCAAATGGCCTTGCAGATCAGAAAATCAAGGAACAAAACAATTATCGCGTCCGGCTCCTCAATGGAATTGCTTTAACATGCTAATGCGTTGGTGTAACAGTCCGGGCGTGGCAAGCTTCTAATGTATCCCGACTTCGGCGAAAGGAACCCATCTTTCATTTAAGACAATGAACACATTCTCACCGTACATTAGAATATAATGCTGGCGCGCGGGTGTGGTGGGGTGCTGTACCAGCTGTCAAAATTGTTTTTTTTTTTAAAAACTCAATTGAGTGTCCATAATATTGCTATTTTGCTATTGCTACTGAGTCTCTGTGTCTACAGTACATTGTGAACAAACCGGTTTCACAGGTATTTTCAACCCCCAGCCACTGTTGTTTCATCGGTTGTTATCCTGTAAAGCGCTTTGAGGAGCCACCTTTAAAGGCACTATATAAAATAAAGTTTATTATTATTATTAATATTTATCATATTTTTCCTTACAGAACTTGTAAATTGTTGTTGTTATTGTTGTTGTTATCCTGTAAAGTGCTTTGAGAAGCATACTGTCAAGCTTGTCAGGTGCATTCTCTTGTAAAATAAAAAGTAGAGCTTTGGG